CAACGCTTCGAAGAATCTAACATTGCCCAACACTCTAGTCCCCCGGTTCCAAATCATGTCATTGGTCCACAACTCCCACAGAATACCAACCATCCTATACGAGAAGAACCACCCAACCGAAGACTAGACCCGACGACCAACTCGTTTATCCCTCAACCTCAGAATTCTCGGAGAGACCCTAGTGCAAATGCTATAAGCTCTTACATCCAATTCATGGCACGCAGAGAGCTTATCGCTAATAAGATTCAGAGATTTGACGATAATACCAGAAATTTTTACGGTTGGAAAGAATCCTTCAAAAATATGATACGAGGCATTCACCTCTCCCCTAGCGAAGAGCTATCGCTCATCATAGAGTATACCAGCAACGAATCAAAGAAACTTGCTTAACGGCTTCGAAACGCATATATCAACAAGCCCACTGAATGCGTGGAGATATATACTATGGCAAAAACTTAGCCAGCGGTTTGCTTCTAACGCGTTATAACTGAAGTACATCTGATCAAACTGAAAGATCTGCCGAAAATCGGATTTAGAGATATCAAGAAACTCCAAGAACTCGGAGATTTGCTCTTAGAGTTAGTGTGCTAAGAACGACGGCGGATACAGAGGCCTCAGAATCCTCGACGAGCCCGCTTACATTAAACCTGTCATTGCGAAGCTCCCTGGCGATATCCAAAGCAGATGGCAAAAGCACGCCTTTCGATATAAGAAACAACACGCCGAGGTGGACTACCCCCCATTCTCCGAGTTTGTCACCTTCATCCAGGAGTTGTCCCCCGAAAGAAACGATCCTAACCTGATCATAGAGATTCCCGAGAAGAAGAACACAGGTGTGCGAAGCCCGAGCTGGCGACAAGAAATTAGTGTAAAGAAGACTGAGATCGAGGCCCAAGACCGCAGAATCGGACACGATCGCCGACTTCGTAACCCTACGAACTGGTGCATTGTCCACCAGAAAGGGCACCCATTAAGCAAATGTAGAGCCTTCCAAGCCATGCCACTCGATGAAAGGACAACAATACTAGGAAAGAACAGAGTATGCTTTCGCTGTATTTCATCGTGTGATCACCTTGCGTAGGACTGCAAGGCCAAGGTCGTGTGCACCGAATGTGGAAGCAACAAACACCTCGCCGCGCTACACGTTGACGGTGAGCAAAGGCACGGCAGAGAGCAGGTAGCAAATAAAGACCAATCCGATGATGGCGCTAACCCTCGACAAAACCAGCACGCGGGAGAGATTACAACCAAATGCACCGAAATATGTGGGAATTCCCCCGGTGGGAAATCATGCTCAAAAAACTGCCTAGCCAACATATACGTTACCGGATATCCAGAAACCAAAGTGAAGGCGTACGTGGTAATCGATGATCAGAGTAACAGTTCTCTAGCAAAATCAGAACTGCTTGATCGCCTGAACGTTCATGGTCAAGCAACCTCGTATTCACTTAGAACATGCGCCGGAACAACTCAGATTCGAGGAAGATGCAGCAAAAATCTCGTCGTAGAGTCTGTGGACGGCAATAAAAGTCATCAGCTGTCGAACGTCATCGAATGTAATGCGATTCCTGATTCTAAAGAAGAGATACCTTCGCCAGAGGTAGCCCGAGCTCACCCACACCTACACGAAATTGTTGAAAAAATACCAGAGATCCGCGGCGACGTAGACATCTTACTACAGATCGGTCGAAACGCCCCTCCACTTCAAAAGGTTCACGAATCCCGTAACGGACCTACAATCCTGGACAAAACATCTGCGACACTTCCAATTATACTTGACAAAATATCGTAATGTTATCGTAAATTTAGAAAACCTCCCCCTTTCCCCCACCATTCAATGTTGATTAGATTCGTAGAATACGGATAAAACGTCCAACATTGTTTTGGGGGGCGGAGGGGGGCAAACGAGTAAATTATTCCGGTCTGACTGGTAAAAAAAACCACAAAGGAATGTTTTAATAGAGTGTCGCAGATGGTTTTGTCCAGGATTGTAGAAACGGCCCTGGGCCCAGCGTCTTGATCTAGGATGGGTTATCATCGGCAACGCTTGCCTGGACGGAGCTCACACACCGAAACCTTCCTGTTACAAAACAAACGTTCTCGAAAGCGGCCGACCATCAATCTTTTCACCCTGCCCTAATTGTTTCCACATAAAGGACCACACGTCCACCGCTTCTGCCGTCTCCTGCGACGGAAACAACGACCAAAGGAAAGAGACATTCGAAAGCGGAAACTTTGACGATGGCCCAGCAGCCAAAGTGTTCGCAAATTCGAAGGACGACAACAAACCTGGTCCCTTCCTGGAAGACAGGAGATTTGTCAACATAATGGAACATTAAATGCTCAAGAACGAAGCGGGGAACTGGGAGGCGCCAATTCCTTTTCGCAACCAGATATCAAGACTACCAGACAACCACGAGGACACTCGTAAGCGTTTTAACTCCACAAGGCGGACTCTCGAAAGGAGACCGGGAATGAAAAAAGACTATTTTGAGTTTATGCAAAGCTTTTCGACAATGGTCATGCAGAGCCCGTTCCTGCAGAGAGTGACATAGCTTCAAAAGGACCACGGTGGTACCTTTCCCACTTCAGCGTCAACAACCCCCGAAAGCCTGATAAAATACGGGTAGTCTTCGATTCAGCAGCCGAAACCAACGCAGTGTCACTAAATAAACTATTTCTCTCTGGCCGAGACCTGACGAACAGTCTCGTAGGAATTCACTTGCGCTTTCGCTGCAACACCATCGTGTTCATGACGGACATCGAACAAATGTTCCACTCCTATATGGTTCGTCAAGACCATCGAGATTATCTTCGCTTTTTCTGGCAAAAGACAACAACCCCGAAGAAGAAGTGATCGAATACCGTATGAAGGTGCACTTGTTCGGTAACACTTCTTTGCCACCTATTGCAACATGCGCTCTTAGAAAGACAGCTCTCGTAGGAGAACCCAAGTACGGACCGGACGCAAGAGAGTTCGTAGAGAAAGACTTTTACGTAGACCACGGCCTAAATTCCGTTCTCGATCGCGAGGGAGCCGTCGACCTGTTACGTAGAACCAAAACCATGTTAGCCGACGCCAATCTGCGCCTCCACAAAATGGCGTACAACGGTAACACAGGCCTTTTCCGTCGAAGACCGAGCTCCGACCTACACAATCTGGACCTTCACCGCGACGTAGTACCGATTCAGCGCTCGTTGCGTGTATTTTGGGACCTACAAGCAGACGCCTTTACCTTTCAGGTCGTCGACGGAGCTAAACCCTATACAAGACGTGGCGTTCTCTCCGTCACCAACAGCCTCTACGATCCGCTCGGAATCGCTGCCCCGGTCGTCATCAAAGCCAAAATCCTGCTGCGAGCTACGACAACGAGCCTGAAACGCCACCCACTTGACGACTGGAGCCAACCGCTACCTGAGCAACATAAAGCATCTTGGGATGCTTGGTGCAAATCCCTCTCAGACCTAACCGAAGTCAAAGTCCCACGTACTTACGCAAGCGTGTCACTGTCGGAAGCAAGCCGTCCCGAAAGACGAAGCAAAGTCGTCCCGAAAGACAGGCAAGCCCAAGTATCGTTCGTGCACGGCAAAGTTAAGCTGGCTACACCCCATGCAACAACAATTCCCCGTTTAGAGCTTTGTGCTGCAGTGCTCGGCGTAGAAATTACGGAGCTGGTTATCGAGGAGTTAGCAGTAAAACCACACTCCGTAACCTATTACACGGACAGTAAAGTTACACTAAGATAGATTCTTAACGAAACGCGCCGGTTCTATGTATACGTCAGCAACCGCGTACAAATAAACGAAGGTCGTCGTCGCCAGATCAGTGGAGATACGTAGCCTACGAACAGGCTCTCAAGCTGAATTGAGAGCCTGCATCGATGACTAATGAATTTGAATATCTGCCCCGTAACGTTCGGTTTTCCAAATATGGAATGTCTATCCTTATATGGTGTTGTTTATAACTTTCGTGCAAACTAAATTTAGACCATGCAAACTAAATTTAGACCGTACAGTTTATGTTTTTCGAAATATAAGATATTAAAGCAAAAGTTTAAATGTTTTAAATACTGTTTTCTCAAAACAGAACATTTCGTGCTTTGAGATAAGATGGCCAAGACCAATTTGATCAGTTAATGTGTTTTTTATGCATAGTGCTAGCAGTTGAAATATATAGAGCTCAGCGGAATAATATAAATTATAGCATCTGACCAATGAGAATTTTGCGTCACGATTTGAGACGCAGATATTCAAATTCATTAGTCATCGATGCAGGCTCTCAATTCAGTTTGAGAGCCTGTTCGCAGGCTATGGAGATACGTGGCAACTGACCTCAACCCAGCAGATCTAGCTACTCGATCGTTTCCAACCCCCACAAGAAGTCCCAGAACTTCGTGCCGAAATCACAACCCTCGCCACGAACGCAAAGCCCGGAGTGCAGAAAAACCTTGGAACTGATCGCTTCCTACGCTTCTCGCGGGGGCAAACTTAGTGAACGCACTATCGAAACTAATGATGGTCGCTCAGCATCACCACCATGCCAAAGCGTCAGTCGGCAACGAAACTACGGTAATCCAGGCACGCAAACGCGCACACTTTTTGATTGTAAGGAACCTACAGATCGAAGCATTTGAGGAAGAATTCGATTCCATAGAAAAGAAAAAGGAACTGTCAAAAACATCACCACTGTTAAAACTTAACCCAATAATCGACTCCGACGGTCTCTTACGCATTGGTGGGCGTCTCAAACGAGCTGACCTTCCGTACGAAGAACGTCACCCCCTCATTCTACCCGGGAAACACCACGTGACAAGTCTAATCGTTAAGAACTGCAACGAAGAAGCGAAACTCCAGGGTCGTCATTTCACCCACGGCATGGTCAGATCAAAAGGATTCTGGATCGTCGGGGGAAAACGCCTCGTCAATCGCGTTATCCATCAGTGCCTGAAATTAGGAAACTCCGAGGCAAGCTTCATCAGCAGAAGATGGCAGACCTCCAATCAGAACGCATCACTCCATCACCTCCTTTCACCTTCGTCGAACTGGACGTTTTCGGTACATGGAAAGTCACAGCTCGTCGAACCAGAGGAGGACACGCTTACAGTAAACGATGGGCAGTAATCTTTACTTGCCCTTCAACGAGAGCTATTCATATCGAATTAATCGAGAGTATGGACGCTTCTAGTTTCATAAATGCACTTCGATGATTCATGGCTATCAGAGGGCCCGTTCAACAGATTCGCTCGGACTGCGGAACGAACTTCAAAGGAGCTCAGAACGAACTAGAATCGGCTCTAAACGAAACGGGTCAAAAGATCGTGGATACGTACTTGAATTCTCAAGAATGCGAATGGATTTTCAACTCTCCTCACGCTTCGCATACAGGAGGCGTGTGGAAACATATGATAGGTATTTCTAGACGAATCCTGGACTCGATGATGGCCCAGCTAAGACCAACACGACTGAATTACGAAGTCCTATCAACACTGATGGACTAGGTGACAGCTATCGTAAACAACAGACCGCTAGTAGCCAACTCAAGCGACCCCTCTGCACCCAAAATCCTCACACCATCTACTCTCCTGACGCAGAAAACGGCAACACTCAAGTCAACCCCAGGAAATGTTTTCCCCCAAGACTTCTATACCAAACAGTGGCGGCAAGTACAACTACTAGCCAACTGGTCAAGATGGAGAAAAGAATTCTTGCCGACATTACAATACAGGCGAAAGTGGACAACAGACGTTCCAAATCTCCAAGTGGGAGATCTGGTCCTCCTCCGATGCAAAGAATCGCCGAGAAACGATTGGCCGCTAGCTCGCGTTTCGAAGACCCCAAGCAGCGAGGATGGAAAAGTTCGAAAGGTAGAAGTTACGACAGCAAAGAACGGCTCAAAGCAAGTGTACACCAGACCAGTAACAGAATTGATCCTGCTAAAAACTGAATACGAACTAAATTCGTGTTGGTGACTCAATAATAACACTTTAGAACGGGGAGTGTTCTGGCCACTATGGCCCCTAGATACGTTCTATAGCCTTTGATATTATTCACTCGTTTTCGCGGTACTTTTCCGTAAACCGCTTCTCATTAGCCAGCCAAGGGGTATTTTTACCAGTGTTTTTGGCACGGTTCTCACGCCTCAGTGAGCATTCCTTTTTTACAAAGTTAATTTTAGCGAATAAAAGCATCATTTTAAAACTTATTCGTCCTTGTTATACTGCTGTTGAAGGGGACAAGGCCTCGCTTAACCCGAAGGAACAGAATAGTAAGTGAATCGAATATTTTCTACTTGTAAATATTGTATGAGAGTCACATTTGTGATTTGGAAATTAATAATATTCTGCGACTGCAAGTAAACAAACGAAAAATTGTGTGTATTTTAGATTCAATACTAATAGCTTAACTATTGAAAAACACTATAAAATTTGATATAGACAAGGGATAACCGGTTTGATTTGGCCATTCACAAAATATGCAGGATTTGATTCTGTTTCCCTCAATTGCTTTTGATCTGATCATATGAAAACCTGTGTTACATAAACATGTGGTATACTTGTATAAGCTGATGCAAAGGAGAATTAATTTTTAAGGTATTAACTTAATATTTTTTATAAACGTTGGACATATCCAATTTAATAGGGCCATGCAAAATTTCTGTTTATTATAGGAATAGGTTAATGCACCTTGCTAATCTCAAGGCAAAGCTTGAGTTGCACAGATTACTGTGTCTTGAGTAAGCTGTATAACAGATCACTGGTTTGCCTCATGGAGGCAAGTAATACATTATTAAAGTCTAAGGTATAATTATATCTCTACTTTTAGGTCTTAATATCAGTGGTTTACATGTGATTCACAAGATTAGCTCATGGTTGTAAAAAAGATGAATTAATACCATTGTGTTCTGTTTATCAAACTAATTGCAGTTTTTAATGGGAAATATGATGACTTCAAAGGATATGAATATTTGGAAGGTGAGAAATAAGAAATATTTTAAAGCACGACTAGCCACCAATATGATTTTTGGTATGTGCAATATCTGTGTCATTCGTTCGAAGAAATGTTATCTCTATAATACAAATCCCTTCTTCATTGACTTTTTACTGTCAAAGTTTCCGGATATGATGTCATTAGGTGAATTTTTACTATAAAGATACGTATACATTACATTTCTTCTTAGAATTGTGACTCAAATATCACATAAACCAAAATTTCTATTTGGGGTTAGTCCAACTTTAATTAATGCATGCTTGATTATTTTGTCACTAATTATAACTTGCATTTATTAAAGCTACAGCACACATAGTGCACAAATAATATCTAGTCTATTTTTTCAAAAAAAATCAACAGACAAAGGAGTCAAAGTCATGAAAAAAAAAATTATGCTACTGTGTGCAGGAAAATGTTGATTTAAAAACTACTGGATCAACAAGAACAGCTTAAGAAGACAGGTTATACAGAATTGAATAATAGTTGAAGGGTCTTGAATGGATGCAAATTATCGAGTAGAAATTTATATGCATTTGTTATACCTAACAGGAAAAGTTGTGAAAAATCAAAGTGCAACCGCTGATCCCTGGCAGAAATCCAACCTGCTCCCCTGCAATTTGTTGCAGCGCTAGCTGTAACCAATATATACAGGGGTGGAAAAAATAGGTGAGCACTGCTCGCAGTAAATGTTAAACAGCTGCAGGAAATTTGTTTGAATGAAGATTTGCTATTGATTAACTTTTGAAGGATAATTAACACCCATGTCCAACTATGGGTGCAACAACATATGGTTGACAGACATTATTCCTTGAATTTAAAACCATGGTCAGCTAGAACACTAAGGCCTACTCTGGGGCGGTAAATCGGTTTAAATCGCCTAAAATCGCCTTAAATCGCCTAAAATCGCATTAAATCGTCGAATTTCTCTTAAATCTCTTAAAATCGCCTAAAATCGCCAACATGCATTCTGTTTGATACATTCAGTCCATGTACTCAAGTTTATCAATTGCTGCTATTATACGGGCAAATCATGTAGTACAGGTGCTTTGCAATCAAAAGTGGATTAGGCTGACAATATTTGGTCACTCAATAGGCACCGGTCATTGACAAAAACAAAGCCTTTTTCTGCTTTATGCAGACTTTACAATAATTAGGTAATTCTGAGATGTAAATGACCCATAGATCCCATACACTACCAGCAACAAAATTGAGCTAGTTACCAGAATGAGTTAATTTCATTATTGGTGTAAATGGAGGCTGGGCTACAATTTATATGGACTATGGAGGCTGGGCTACAAATTAATCTATAACCTACATGGCTTCCCAAAGCCTAATTGCTGTTAATTAGAACAACAGTAGGAGACAACGAAAGTCAATGAGTACGAGTGTTGATTTATATAATAAAGTCATTGTGCAATTTGTGCACTGTTGCATGTAAGATCGAGCACTGCATTGTATACAATGGTTGTACTTGGACATGTGCATGGTTATACTCTAGCTCCTAGTTATAATTATAGTGGCTATCAAACGAAAAAACATACGTGAGGTAGTGAGCGATTTGCAACTCTCGTATATTAAATTTCCCAGACCTGTATAAACAATAAACAATAAACAGTAAAACAATGATTACATCGTACATACCATACAATAGATCTTTTGTTGTTGTTTGTTTGAAGAACCTAAAACCACGATGTAGTGTGCCATTTGTTTAATACTGTATTATTTTGTTTTTAATTTTAAAATAATTTAGAATTCCTACCATTTATATACGATATACTTCATGTAATTTAAACATTACGGCATTACGCCGACAGTTTCCGAATGCGTGGCGATGGTGGCGATACTGTTTCTGGATATGGCACTGGGATATGATGTAGATATAAAAAAAATTATAAATATGTTTGTAGCATGAAGAAAGCACGAGATTGAAACAGTTTAAATAAAATGCAAGCTAAATAAAGAAGTTTTGACATGATTCAAAACAAGACAATTTCACTTACAAGGGTGACAAAATATTTGATAGGATTATAGCTTATTCAGTTTATATACTGTATAAATACATTGTGTGTTTCTACCCCCTACCCCTTGTGTTTTTTTTGGAAATCAAGTATTTATTATATTTTGCAATTTTAACTCGACATAAATTAATAATATTAAAGTTTAAGACATGTGTAGCATTGTGCATGCCCCTTAAGTAGAGTATATTAACTGTTTACAATATTTGTGGTATATAATGTAGCCGTGAATGACCACATGACCCCACAAATGAACCCCTATGGCTTCTAAATAGAGAATGGATGAAAAGTTCATGAATATTGAGCTTTATATGTGAATCAGGTTAATTAAATACAATAATTAGTTAACCTAGCTTTATATAAAATGTACATACATTTTCTAATAATTGTATTTTGCTTCATACAATGCATATGTGTGTGAAAACATTACATTATTATTTAGCTCACTCCCCACATTGGGGCTTTTCAGTGATCGATTACATCAAGTACTGTGATTACTTATGTTAGCCTAGACTATTTATCTTTACAACAATGAGGATATGATATTACTTTCCTAACTGTGTTTATCCTAACCCACCCTGCCAATTTTGCCCTGTGGGAGGAAACCGGAGCAAAATATAAAATTCAATTCCTTTGAAAACGTCTAAATTGCAATCCCTAAAATTTAAATTTATTTCTTAAATCGCATTAAATAGCAGTGTTTGAAATCCCAGTTTTTCCTTAAATCGCCTAAAATCGCATTATATCGCAGCGATTTAAGGCAATTTACCGCCCCAGAGTAGGCCTACACTATATGTTTATGCACAAGTAGATTTAGCACAAAAATACTCTAATACTAATAAAGGAAATTTTTGTCTCCAGGTTGTGCTCCCAGGAACAAAATTCTTTTTTCGTGCCCTGTATATTTAACAATTATTCGCAGAAGGCGAGGTGCAGTGATTATTGGGGAATATTCGCCGAGACGAAGTCGAGGGAAATATTTATCATTTATAGACCCTCCGCTCGGGGGATTCGGCGAAATATTTCCCGAAGTGATGATAAATGATAATATTATACCGAAAGTCTATAAATGATATATTATACCGAAAAAGGTATTCTATACCGAAAAAGGTATTTATTTCCTCGTCAGACTCTGTCATTTTTGCCTTTCAAGCAAACAACATTGTTCCCGCCATTTTTTAGCCTTGCGTGTGGTCTCGCGTGATGTTCGCGAATCATATTCACCGGTGAATTTGACTCATATTCACCGGTGAATATGACTGAAATTTCCTGCTGCACCAAATACGAATGACGTAAGCGCGATACGATGATAAATTTCACGATCACATGGCACAAATCTAGCTTTCTCATTGGACAATTTTAATTTGAGGTATAATATTCCCCGATAATCACCTAGCCTGAGGCGAATAATTGTTTTATTATTTTTGCACAAGTTTTTTTGTTTTTTTCTGGTCTGAATTTATTTTAATTTCGCTTATTTCTTTATCACTAACTTCAACAAAACGGCTAGCCGCCATTTTGAAAATTTTGATTTTGTTATATTCACCTGTAGGTGAATATAACAGATTAATACGTCAAATTTGACCAATCACCTTGTAGGATTTGTTATGTTCACTTGTGCAAAAATACTAAATATATATAGAGAAACAGTACTGCCATGTTTAGAGGACAAGTAAATATCGTGATTTTGTTGGCTTATCACTCGATTCAATAATAGTTCAAGGGTCTTGTATAGAAGGATATTTAATAAATGTATATAAATTTCCACTCAATAATTTTCATCTATACAAGACCTTTCAAACAGGGCCAGGCCTGCAAACCAGGCACACATGAACAGCCCCTAAATCATGCGATACTTGCCTGGATCCTTGCAGATGTCATCATGGCTCCAACCCTCAAAAATTCAGGTTGTTTCGCAAGGGTTGGAATGTTGGGAGCTTTACCATTAACAGCAAAGCCATAAATTCAAGCTAAGTATTTATATATTGGTCTATTGCAGGAATAAAGCTAATACAATCATTGAATCATGAAATGTATTGTGATTTTCAAACAGTACAAAATTAAATAGAATCGAAAAAACTCCTCCTTTACTTAATTTTTATCTCAATAATTCAAGCTGCAAAACATAATCGCTCAAAGACAACCAAAAATATGGTATTAAATTGCAAATTGCAATTACATAATACATATAGAAAATGGATAATACATTTACATGTAGAAAATATATTATTCACTTTAATACGAAGAACTATCACGATATACTGTACATGCAAGGTCCGTTTCATGTGAAAATGAATTCCTCATTTCCTTGTTATATTCTTCCAACTTTCAAACCTATTCTTTGGCCCAAATTTCGTCAGTGTAGCTCTAAGTGCCAACATTTTCATGCTCGACGAAGCCAGATGCCATCTACGAAGGAGCACTTTCAAATTTGATTTTGAAGATGTTTTGTACGTTTCACCATCAATTTTATATTCAGCGCAATTGTATAGGAACTTTTTTCAGTACCAGAGAACGATTTTGAGCTTAATAAACCGAGTTTTCTTGCAAAAATTCTCACTTTAGTAAGTTACAGCGACAGAATATAATACAATTCTATAGTGTTTGTTTACGCTCGCGTTCTATCCCAGGCCCCCAAGCACGAAGGATTTTATTGGAAATTGTCATGTTTGAGGGTCAATATCTCGGAAAATACTGAACCAAATAAAACAGGGCTGAAGAACTTACGAACTAACTTTTTGTGCTCTTTCCAAATCCGTAAATATCCCACAAGTGATATAGGCACTTTAAATATTAATGTATTGTTTGCTTTATAATTGATTTATAAGCCGATCGTATAAACATTGCGTTTCAGCAAAATAAGGCAGCATATAATTTCAGTGTTTACTGTATTGACTACCCTTTTTTATTATATTAAATTCTCATCCTGTAGAGCGCTCAATATGACCTAAAGGCCATATAGAGCGTTATCTAACTACACACACACACACACACACACACACACACACACACACACACACACACACACGTTAGAACTGAAACTGCACGAAAACGATTTGCATTCCAAGGAGCAGTTCAATACAACAAACAACCAGACAGTCTAACAAAAGAAACATCGTTACTGAGATTTAAAGAACAATGCAACGCTATTTTTAACTATTACAAAGTTAGAAACGCTTCGTAAATTAGACACATCTCACTTTTTATTGAACACTATTCTTAATAACAATTCGAAACATTTCGTAAATTAGAAGATTCACACTTTTATCTATATAAACTTTATTGTAAACACAGGTTCTTGATTTATAGCAGCTTAGTATAGCTGACCAAGTTAACCTGTAAAAATATAGTTAATTATTATTATTATTATTATTATTATTATTATTATTATTATTATTATTATTATTATTATTATTATTATTATTATTATAACCTATTATTATTATTATTATTATATTAACCATGCCAGAAATAAGCAAAGATCTCTTGTAGTTACTTTAATTGATCTGAAAAATGCCTTTGGTGAGGTACATCATAAACTTATACGAACTATCTTGACAGCTCATCACATTCCTGAAGAAATTATATGCTTTGTTGAGAATCTCTACTCTGATTTCAGTATCTCAATTATTACGAAAGGGTTCATTACGAAACCAATTCAAGTGCAACGAGGCGTGTTACAAGGTGATTGTTTATCACCCTTGTTATTTAATCTTTGTGTAAATTCTTGGATTCACACAATAAACGACGCGAAATTAAAATGTCTTGGCTATGTAAATAACGCAACGATGTACCCTAGGCACTGGTTCCAATTTGCGGATGACACAGCAATATTAAGTGCACATGAAGAGGACAATCAATTGCTTTGTAATGTATTTAATAAATGGTCAACGTGGGCGGATTTGCATATTCGTGTTGAGAAATGCCATACTTTTGGAATCAAGAAGCAATCCTCAAAAGCAATTCAATACCAACCAGTTATTATCATCTCGGGCAAGCGTGTACCGCCGATTGAATGCGAACAGGGGTTTAACTATCTTGGAAAGCAATTTAACTTTAATATGGAATGCGAGCAGATCAAAGTAGAGATACTAAGTGAAATCGACGAATATCTGCAGAAAATAGATCTTTTCCCCATGAATCCTTTTTCGAAAATCAGAATTATTCAGAATTATGTTTACTCAAAGCTCCGTTGGTGATTTTCTATATACCCCTTTACTGAGACCTGGATAAAGCAAAATATTGAGCCAGTTATTTCCAAGTATATTCGAAAATGGTTACAGATCTCGATTAGTGGCAATATCACTCATCTAAAACTACCAAAATCATATCTAGGGATTGACTTTTGCTCTGCTTCAGATATATATTTACAATGCAAACTTTCGGTTAGGCGCATATTGAAAACATCTAGGAACAGTGATATTCAACATCTGTATTCTGTAACATCTTCCAAAAATATTAATACGGATGAAATAATTGAGAAAGTATCATCAAATGTAACAAATGGATACGAACTGAAAACCGGAACAAATAAGTTATTGAAACAGCAAAGTACAAATGATATTTGGGCAAATTTTATTACGCTAAAGGAACAAAGTATTATTATAAACTATCTAACTGAAGCGTGCAATAAGAAAATACTGCACTTTTGGCAGGAAATGGTTTGCAGACTACCCCGTAATATAACTTGTTTTGCAAGACGGGCTCTAGTGCTTAACTTGAGCAACAATTCTAACCTCAAGCGCTGGAACATTCGAGATTCTCCAAATTGTGACCTTTGCAACAAAATTCAAACACAACTTCATGTTCTTTCATATTGTCCTGTAGCGTTACAACAACATCGGTATACGTGGAGGCATGATTCTATATTAAACACCATTCTTCATCACTTAAGGAGAGTGATGTCGGAAGACCTGGAGATTTTTGCCGATTGTCCAGACTCTGGCTTGAAATGTACGTCCAATCTGTTTCAAGCGTTAAGGCCAGATATTACGATTCGTTATAAAAGAGATTTGTATGTGATTGAATTGACTGTCCCCTATGAAACGAACTGCATGATTGCAAGACGACGTAAACAAGAAAAATATCGGGCATTGCGATCACAGTTACTCGTACCGTGTGATAGATTTAAAGTTATAACTTTGGAAGTCACTACTCTAGGCTTCGTCACGAAGAGTATAGGCCAATTTCGTAGGCTATGTAGGTTGTTAAATTTGCAAGACGA